GGTACATTCTTTTAAGTAATTTGAGTTTGATGATAATCATCAACTATAATTTTCAATTAAGATGATAATCATCAACTATAATTTTCAATTACCAATCAATAAATGTCCTCAACTACTTTTACATGCAAAGTGAAATAATTTTCATTCAAATATGTAGTTAATCTCTTCACTATGAGTAATAAGGGTCACAAGGAAAATAAATATAAACTTGTCATATGTCCATCAAATTAGGATAGTCATTTACTATTAGTAATAAGCAAATTATTATCATGACTAATTTCATTATGAACAACTTGTTTTCTTATTTTGAGAAATTGATTATTGCCCTACCAATGGAAGAAGGAAAAAGATCTTTATTGCTGGGGCGCTATCAGTTGTGGTGTTGGAAATGTTTGCTTCTTTGGTCATATTCTTGGGGCACCCGATTAAGACAAAACTATCATCCTGGGCTCGTTATAGTCCTTCCATCTTGTCTTTCACACTTCCACTTTGTCGTATCCTTCCCAAATATATGATCTAAAAAACATATACATTTTTTTATTTCATTATTTTTACTCTAGCAAGTATATATGGATTACAAGCATCATGTCCACCTCCGCGCATACAGTCATGCAATGCTTGGGTACACTGATGTAGTAATGCAACTAACTAACCTAGTAACAAACTTGTCATGCATACAAATAGGAAAATGATCTTGATGCCCTCCCTCCCCCTTCCTCTCATGCTAATTTTATAAATTTCACTTTTAGGAAAACTATCAAGGACATTAGAAACACAAAATTCATTGGAAGTACAGTACTCTTCTCAACTTTATCATGGTACATTAGGGAGTTGTTTATTGCGGATTGCATATGGAATTATACACCCAAAGAAAAGTTCGTTTGTCATTGGCGTGAGTGCAATTGAGATTTTGGTAGAGTTGACTTACCTCAGAATATGTATCGCTTATTGTGCGGCAAATGAAAGAAAGATGAAGATAATTAGTACTTATGGTAGTACTTATGGTCGTGACGTTGTTTGCTCCGCTAGTCTTACTCTTTGTGCACACAATTAAAATAGTGACCGTAATTATGGATTCATGTTATGTGTTTGGAAACTTTCTTATATACGGCTGTAGCTTCAACGCATAACTTTTATTTATTATTTTAGTATTATTTTTATATTAATATTGATCAGCAGAATAGTGTATTTTTTATAAAATGTTGCCAAAACCAACAACAAGTATGATGAGAGACGATATTATAATTTGGTTAGATAGTTATATTTTGCGACTTATAATAATTTGTTATGCAATAAATGTAATTTTAAAATTTTACACTCGTATCTAATACAAGGCGCAAAATTATAACTAGTAGGATATAAGAAAAAGTTTCCCAAACATAATGATCCCATGTATCGATATATCTCTGCAGCCTAACCCCAAGTGGTGTGGATTGCTTACATTAAATATGGTTTTGAAGTTCACAAAAATTTGTAATGACTAATCAGTTCCTTCAAAACCCATATATACTCTCATCTATTAATTTTCTTTTATAAATATCTATTTTTATATATACCTACATTATATATCTCTTGTCTTTCTTTAATTTCTTTTATCTCTTTTTTTAAGCTGGACTATTTCATTTTGTAAGTCTTGTATTGTTACCAGTTTGGTGATAAGTATAGAACAACATTACATAATAGATCTGAAACTTATTTATCATGATTAATCTATATACATAGTTATAACTCATGGAACTTTATGGTTTCTGTACCAACTCAGGAATATTACAACTTATATTCATTCACGTGTTGTGCTAACTTTCTTTATTCTCCTATTTATATTTAGAATTTAGAATCATGTCATTTTTTAGAACTTTTTCTAAGTCTTGTTCTGCCTCAACATCTACTTCTTCTTCAAAAGTTTTATTAAAAGAAGAAATTAATTTAGAAATATAAACCAATCAATAGACAATTGGAAAATTCCTAAACATACATCCAACTAAAGATATTTATTATGATAAATGGAATCTTACTAGTGATCATATAATCAAAACTGTAGAACAAACAATAGCTTTAAATTTAGAATATGAACAAATTAAACTCCTATCATCGAAAATGATAGAAAAACATAGGCAAAAATACAATTATTTGCATTTTGGTCTTGTTCAAGTTGCAGCAAAACCATTAAGCAGAGAAGGTCTAGATACCTCTCTTCTTCTTTGTTTAAGAGATAGTCGATTTCTAAACTTTGAAGATTCTTTACTAGGAATGGTAGAAACAAGTCTATGTAGAAGTCCTACTTATTTTGATTGTTTTCCCAATTTTACAGTTTCCCTAAGAGAACAAAATATTTTAGATTCTCTGACACTAAATATAAAAACTGCGAATTATAAAACAAAAACGGGATCTTTGCCTGTTGCACTTATATTCATAATCCAGTATAAGGCAATGAATTCCGCTTTTAATACAGGAGCTCTTAAAACACATGAAAAAGGAGAAACTGTATTATTCCGAACAGATTTGTCAAGGTCTTGGATTTCAATTCCTAAATTTATAAATTGGACTCAGATCACATTGCCAGAACAATGGTTGTTGCCTGATGCCACTCCGTCAGTTCCAAGTCGAAATACCCAAGTATCCAGTATAAAGCAATCAAAATTTAAGCGTGTCAATTGAAATTGCATTATCCTCCTCATCATCCACAACAGGTGTTTTTTTTTTTTTATTTATGTTAATGCAATTTCACATTGTGTTTCCAAGGTGGTCTCAGGTTTTCAATTGAAATATTATTCCTTGTTTCTTAGATTCGGTTGTGGATTGTTTAAAGTAATTAGCTATAATATTTTTTCATTGGCTACGATTTTTTTTTGATGAATGTGTTAGCATTAACATTTTATGTTATTCCACAGGGCACATTGTCTGAAGCTCTACTCTGGACATTCTTAGAAATGGTGAAGTACTATGTGGCTGAACGTCCAGTTAGATCATTAAGTTGTTTATGAAACATCATGTTTCAAATTTAGTACCTCTTTTTAAAGCGTAGCTTATTGTGAAGTTATTGTAATGGTTGGACCACCTATTTGTGGGACGTTTACTTAGGCAGATAATTGGATGATCATCCATGGAAGTCATATATTCTTTTTGGAACAAATTTATCACTAAATAAGGTTAAGGTCAAGGATCTAATCTTTTCATTCTGTCAAGGTTCTTTTTGTTCTTTAAGTTTTATATTTATTTGTAACTGCAATAGACCTTCACAATGATCAATGCTTATTATTTGTGTTGGGAGTGGAGCAATTTAAGGTTAGCCTTACTTGATATTGTAGTTGATGTTCCCGGTAAACCAGAATGGCCAAAGATAATTAATTTATGTATGCTCGAATTGGGAACACTAATTCATACGTTATATAATGTGCTTTTGGCCTATGGTTTTGGTTGATCTGTATTACTTTGATGTTTATTAATTTGGAATCAATAGATTTTGTCGAAGGAAATGGCCCAAGATAGTTTAATGAAACTCCCTTTATCTATTATTTGCAGGCTTGCCATGCAGAATTGATTAATAGATTTGAATGCTTTTGGATTTTGTTTTCTGATTTTGATTTCTATCATTCAATTGGTGCCATTTGATTTCGATATTTTATTTTTTATAGAGCTCCAAGAATCACATTGTTGATTGTTCAAAAGAAATATAGGTAATGCAATAAACAATGGTACAATAAGTGTTTTTTCAATCATTGTATAATTAAATTCTAGAAATTGAGAAAATTGAAAATTAATGGTACAAAGTCGTTTGTTGTAGTGTAAAGGTATATAGTCGAGAAGTCGACGCCTGCGAAACTATTTAATTGACGAAATGGTAAGAATCTGATTCTTTCTTTTGTTTGTTGTATTAGTTGCTTTCATCATGGGTGGGAATTTATGTGATTAGTCACATCTTTAGTTTTATGGCATTTGATGAGGGTGATTACATGAATTCTAGAGAACAAGTTAACCATAATTCTATGATATGATAAAGTTTGATGTTTTGGGATAAATTTTTTTTTTAATTTAGCAAGACTACTGGACATCGAAAGAGGTCATGTGTGTTTTCTTCATCAAAGGCATTGCACAATCTCAACTTTGTTTTAAGCTATAGACTCAGCCTCAATGTGGTATCCATTGTACTTAATTAAAGCAACAAACAAAAATGACACATGTCAGCTTCACAATGAAAATTTTCCCTCCAAAAGCCTTTTTCAATACAAAATGAAAACTGACATGTGACGCTCTAGATTTTGAGATAAAAATGAGTCTTTAAAAAATGCTCCATAAAAAAAATGCCAAAACATGTGCAGATAAAATATGGAAACCTATAGCTATTTTAAATTTACATAAGATAATTAGAAAAAGTCCAATTTTCACCAACAAATTAGGGAGATAAGCACGTTTCCCTGTAATTTGGAGTTACATAATGAAAATCATATCTTCATATATACAAATGATTTTACATCAGTAACAAGAATGTAAAAAAAGGAGATGTACACCGATTACAATGCTTAATTAACCATAATTACATGAAATCGAATATTCTCCATTCCTAAAATTAAGCACTACATCCGTGTTTAACTTCTCCATTCATAAAATTAAGCAATGCATTCGTGTCTACACTCCTGAATTCCTGTACAATCAACTATATGATTTGAAAATCAAAATAAAATCAATTCACTTAATGTGATGCAGTTATAAACGTAATATCTACAAGATAAACATCCCTGCTTTTGAATTTTGATTGATTCATCTATATCTCTACAACAGACTGTGTGTGTATATTTCTTCTCTATCTTCTCCAGTTTTGCAGGGAAGTTCAAAATCTCAAAGATATACTTACGTTCATATATCCATGGCATATCTTCCCATCGTGATTAAATAGCTGTATAAGTACATCCATAGGGATCATTCAATCAATATCAAAGCCCTTCTGAAAGAACCATAACAAAATTCTATCACTCTCAGAAAAGAAATCACAATCCTTTCTAATGGATTCTGCACAGAAAAGAAATCTCCCTATTTGTGAAGGTGCTATGATTCGATCAGCTGATCCCGTTGTTCCAGAAAAGGCCAGTGATGTTCAAGAAGTCCCAGGGGAAGCATATGTTACTCCTCCTGTTCAAACATCAGTGGCTTCACCAAAAACCCCTGTTGATGGATCCCATATTGCAATTCCTTCTGTGAATTCAACTGCTCAAAGTGGAACTCCTGCTGTTACTCCTCCCGTCTTACAACTTGCTGCACAAAGGTATATTGTGGACATCAATGGGTTGGTGCCAACCAAAAGCATACATTTCAACATTGTCGTTCGTGTGATGACTATATGGAAAATGTATAATACTCAAAACAAGAAGGATGTCAAATCACTTGAATTGTCTTTAATTGATGCTCAGGTATTTTTTTATTTCTTTGTTTTTTAAAATACATTCTTTGATTTACATCACTCTATGTGTATGTTTAAGTATATTATATATAAATTAAAATTTTTAACCATGCAGGGTTCAAAGATCCAAGCTACCATACCTGCTCGAATCATGAAAGATTTTGTTAAGTACTTTAAAGATGAAGGTGTTTGTAGGAGGCTATCACGTTTTGATCACTGTCTTATTATAAATGGAGGTTACCGTTGCTCCAAACACGAGTATAAAATTGTATTTGGATCTGACACTTTGGTAGAAGAAGCTGTTGACCTTGACATACCTAATCATGTATTTGAGTACACTCCTTTTGCAGAAATTACGAATTTTGTTGCCAACTTTGACTATTGTTGTGGTAAGTATGAATTATAATTTGTAATGAGATTCTTACATATTTTTTCCATGTATAAGTTTCACATATAATCCACTATTTTGTAAGTAAATACCTTTACAAATTAGCCCTTTCTTTCAGATTTGGTAGGACACATAATTGGCTACAGTGATCCTATTGTTGAAAAGGGTAAGAAGAGGAATTCTGTGCAACTGGAGGATGAAAGGTATACATTTTTACTATTGGTTTCTTAAAATACATGATTTTTTTTTTATTTTAATCCAACATATAAATAGTCTATATATTATTAACAGAGTATACATATATGCAGAGCTGACACGTTAAAGGTTACTCTTTGGGAAGAACATGCTGACCGTGTTCTCAATTGTATGAATAATGATCCCGAATATCTTGTTGTTTTGATTGTGCAGTATGTCAAGTGTAAAAAGTACTATTGTAAGTTTTCAAGACATAGATTTCAGTTATGAGCAATGTCTATTGGGTAAACCTTATACTGTTTGCTGTGTTAATGTAGCAAAAGTTTTGGCTACAACCAACCTCTTTAATGGCAGGATATACCTCAATGATATGAACATTGCTGACATTTACGAGTACAAACACAGGTAATGTTAAATATTCATAGGGAGCATATACAAGTCAAAGCAGTGAATTCAAAACATGTATATTCATAAATGTATGCTATAATTTAACAATATACTTACCTCTATAGGATGGAGCAAGAAGAGATAAAAAGTGCAAGAATCCAGAAGATCTCCCTACTGTCTTCAATTTCAGGTTACACAACGTTCGAAGACTTTGTCCGTGATGCAGAGATGCTAACTTTGTCTGGAATTAGCGAATTGGATCAGGTAATGAGTTGATATTATATAATATCATTACAGTTTATAATTTGTATACCTTAATGATTCTGCAATATTTTTGTTTAAGGGCTGCAATGTTGTGGTAGTTGCTAAGATATGTGGATTAGCAAAGGAAAATGAATGGTCATACACAGGTTGCAGCCTGTGTAACAGAAAGGTTTTTGAGATAGAAGATGCTGAGAAGAACAACGGAGGAAATAAAAAGCTATCATTTGCAAAAAGCAGAAGGACAGATAATGGAAAGGCAATTTCATGTCCAAAAAAATGGATATGCAGCAGTCATGGACCTGTTTCTGCTGTTGGGCCAAAGTATAAACAATATACTAAGCATTATAGATTCTTTTCCCATTTTAGTTTCAATTTTTATTCAATTTAATTATACAATCACTAATTAATTTTTATCTGTTCAATATACTTCAGATTCAAACTGCAGGTATATATTGTTGATGGTTCAGGTAGCAGGATTGCTACAGTTTGGGACAGGATGGTTTACAATTTCATAAACAAGAGTGCTGTCGAACTAATTCAGGAGGTATACTTCAATATGTTTCACTAAGTTTTTTTGCTTGATGATTACGACGCGTCTAATAGTATACAAATGTTGATTACTTACACGAGATGCCTATTGATAACCTATATAGGGAAACAAATACTATCCTGATATCCTAGAGGAGATTGTGGGGAGAAAGTGTTTGTTCAGGCTGGATGTGTCCAATTAAATATTCGGAACAGTACAAGTGAGATATCTGTTGCAAGGATTGCTACTGATCATGATATTATAAAGAAGTACCTCAAAGCTGTTTCTGACGATCAGGTTAACTTTCATTGTTTTCCAATACACATATATACATACATATTGTGATTATAGTTGTGTGACAACTTTTTAAATGTTCCAAGACATTGACCCAGAGCTAAGTGCAGAATTCTATCACTCTGTGACTCCAAATCATGACAGCAATGCTAAGGTATTTTATATGTGTCAAACAATACCTTTAAAATATCAAAGTGTTTATTATTGAAGTGAAAAAGACATGCTTGCTAACTTACCACAACGTTGGATGCCCAGACAGCTGTTTTTGTGCACTGATGAAACTGATTTGGTGTTGCTTGGAGATGACTCGGCCGATAGTCCTCCTCCTAAAAAGTTTACAATTGCACATGAAGGTGAAGAAAGTGTCAAGTCTCACCCCAACAAGTGGGTCGGGAAGCTGTGATAAGCAAAAGAAATGGCAGCAATTTACTGTTTTCATAATAAAGTTTACACCTTTCGGAGTTTAGATGTTTCCCGGTCCAGAATATTGATTCTTTCGAGAACTTTTCATTATTTCGTTTAAGTTTTCTTGGAACATTATCCTTTTACAAAGCATAAGTTTTTATCATTTCTGCTTTTGATTTCAATTATCTGTTTTGATGATTATGTTATGTTACATTTTAATTCCATTCATCCTGTTTATCATAATGTGTTTGTTATGAATGTAAATCTTTGTTTAAAAAACATCAACATTGAATTCTTTTTTTATCAAAGTAATTTCATAGAGTTAAAGATCTCACGATTAAAACCATTTATCTCTGTGAATAATTGCTTATATTATAAAATGGTAGGATATATTTCAATCACATATATGAGTACAAACAAATTACTTTTGAAATATTCACAAGGAGCATACAGAAGTCAAAACAGTGACTTCAAAGCATGTATATTCATAAATGTATGCTATAATTTAACTATATACTTACCTCTATAGGATTGGAGCAAGAAGAGATAAAAAGTGCAAGAATCCATAAGATCTCCCTGATGTCTTCAATTTCAGGTTACACAACGTTTGAAGACTTTGTTCGTGATGCAGAGATGCTAACTTTGTCTGGAATTAGCGAATTGGATCAGGTAATGAGTTTATATTATAAAATATCATTACAAGTTATAATTTGTATACGTTAATGATTCTGCAATATTTTTGTTTAAAGGGCTGCAACGTTGTGGTATTTGCTAAGATAAGTGGATTAGCAAAGGAAAATGAATGGTCATACACAGATTGCAGCCTCTGTAACAGAAAGGTTTTTGAGATAGAAGATGCTGAGAAGAACAATGGAGGAAATAAAAAGCTATCATTTGCAATTACAATATTATGAACAGTACAAGTGAGATATCTGTTGCAAGGATTGCTACTGATCATGAAATTATAAAGAATTACCTCAAAGTTGTTTCTGATGATCAGGTTAACATCCAGAGTTTACCAATACAAATGTATACATACATATTGTGATTATAGTTATGTGACAAGTTTTTAAACGTTCCAGGATATTGACCCAGAGTTAAGTGCAAAATCCTATAACTCTGTGAGTCCAAACCAGGACAGCAATGCTAAGATGCTTTATATGTTTGAATACCTTTAAAATATCACAATGTTTATTATTTTAATTGAAAAAGACATGCTTGCTAACTTACCACAACATTGGATGCCCTTTCAGCTGTTTCGTGCACTGATGCAACTCATTTGGTGTTGCTTGGAGATGATTCTGCCGATAGTCCTCCTTCTAAAAAGTTTGCAATTGCACATGAAATTGAAGAAAGTGTCAAGTCTCACCCCAACAAGATGGTCAAGAAGCTGTGATAAGCAAAAACAAATGGCAGCACTTTACTGTTTTCATAATAAAGTTTACACCTTTCGGTGTTTAGATGTTTCCCTGTCCACAATATAGATTCTGTTGAGAACTTTTCATTATTTCGTTTAAGTTTATTTGGAACATTATTCTTTTACAAATCATAAGTTTTTATCATTTCTTACATGTTGAAATACGATAAATTAGGAATATGAATAATTTATCCCTACACTGCTGAATCAATACTATATAGATAAAATGGTAAAGATACACACGGATTGAACTGAATATTTCAATCTGGATAAAATGGTAAAGATACAGACGGATTGAACTGAATATTTCAATCTGGATAAAATGGTAAAGATACAGACGGATTGAACTGAATATTTCAGATTGGATAAGTGAACTGAATCTTCATATCCTTTCAATTACTCTAAATTAGTATATTTATTGGAATTTAAAAAGTTTACATTTCATCAAATTTGAAAGACTTTTATGTGAACTTGGATACAATGGATAGATAACTGATATGTTTTATCCCTAAAACACTGGTAAAATAATCAATTATTTGGGAGTTAATTTGTTGTTAATAAATAAAAATACTTATACAGAGTTTCATTCCTTAACAGTTAAGTCTAATAGACTCCTAATTATAAGGGATCGTAAATAGGTATAAAAATACAGACTAAAAACATATATTCACGTATAACCCAAATTCAGTTTTAAACAAAACATAAAAGCAAAAGTAGTTTGCAGTTTTGAGAAGCAGAACAAGTTGAATTTCAGCAGACAAAATGGATAATGGTTATGATCAATTGGTTTCAGTTCCAGCAAACATTCTATATAATACAATCTCATTTATGAGTTTAGTATAATTACTTTTATGCGTTGTAATTTTTATCTTTTTATTAGATACTTAGCAGTAACCTCACTGCAAATTTAAGACATGTTGGGCAGCAAATCATGATTGAAGTACCAGGGATTCGCAGTGTTTTCGCAAATATGCATATTAATAAGAAAAAAAAAGGTGTTAATTATACGGATCTGCACTTGAGGAATTCTTTGCAGCCATCGGTGTTTTTCCTCAATCTAAGATTCATGTTGTTTATCACAAGTCTTCTAACGTTTTGCATTTATTTAATTTTAATCACGATGGATGCCAACATTTTTCCCCTGATCTTGATGCAAACATTGGACATCGGTAGCTTTTGGAGTTAAATCCTAACAATTCTCTCCGATGTGTAAGTTTAAATTATACCTCCAGCTTCTATCGAGGTTTTTAATTTTTACAATCTGTTTGGTACACAAATTTATTGTCCTGATTGTCTTTGTTTTTCAATTGTAGGTTATTAACCCACAGTATTTTAGGGCTATAGGTTGGCCTTTGAATCAAACTGTTTCACCGACCCTTGATGATAAACACAAACAGTGGAATTTTATTATATATACACAACAGGGTGAACCTATAGGTTTTGAAGGCAACATGTGGGCAAAATTTCATGATCTTTACTTTAATCATCTACGAGGTGTAAATATAATATTCATTTACACAGGGCAATTATACTTTAGGTTAAGGGTTTTCAACCGTAAGGTTACTGCTGTGATCAGGATATATCTACTTCGGATTCATCTGAAAGTTTGATCAATTTACATTTTATATGCTAAAGAAGTTTATTTGATTAAATTTATGTTTTTATATCTTGACTGAATTTTTACTTCACTGTTGCAGGTAAAGTAGACACAATTGACTACATACGGTCTAATAGTGATCAGAATACTTTCAATGTAGTCATGAACACTGATGTCATTCAACGTGGTAGATTGGTGAGATAATGGTTATCATTTGTAACTTACGAGACACAAAATTTTACCTTCAATTATATAGCATTCACTTACTGTTATTATTATGGAAATTTGAGTTTGATTTTTTGTATGAAAGGAAATACCATGGCACATTGTCAGAAGACTTGATATTGAAGACTACAATAGTTTGATCATATACTACGATGAAGAACCTGTTATCAGAATGGGTCGTGTCTATTTATGTGATTATCCTAATCACTTCATTGTCGAAGGAGACATTGAGTACATGATGGGTTTAAAAAGGATCCCTACTGGTATCAAGCTCGAATTTCATATAGATGCAAGAAAGGCAGTTAATAAGGAACATTTGATCTTGGAAGTCCTGTAATTGTTTTAGCTTTTATGTTATTTGGAATAATTAATCATAAACTTATTGTTTTCCAACTTTCAGTCACAATTATCTATTAAATAATTGAATGTTGTTTTCTGTTGTTTTATCCATAGAAATTTTGATTTTTATAATCTAATGCCATAATTCAATTTCTTTGATCTTATAATCGCATAAATTCTTATAATCATACATATAAGAAATAACCAGCCCTTAATAGTTGAGCATTAAACATCCAATCAGTAAATTGAAATTAACAGTATATGCAGGAAATTGGTTTTACTGAGTTTTAAAGTTTCAAACGACTATATAATTATAGATACAATAATGACAATTTCATTGTGAATTGGGTGTTTATATCCTATTTTTTAGGCAATGTCATTGATCTTTATCAAAAAATATTCTTTAGTGATAATATATTCTATCATATATTCTATCATTTAACTCACATTAGGCTTAAATTCCTGTTAACATTCTTATTTAAACACATCTTATAAATTCCAATCCTAAACATCATAGAAACTTATAGTCACCATGAAAACTAATGTGATGCAAAGCAGGCCAGATTGATAAGAAAGGGGATTTTACTGAAAAAAAGACTCAGATTTCATCAACCGGTAATTATTGGTAATCCGCCAGTTCCAATTGTAATACCACAACTTTATGAAGTCAGTGGTAAGAGGAAAAGAATTCATAGAATAAAGATATTGGAATTACCCTGTCCTGATCTAGTTCTTGCGAAAAAGTCCAGGATTGATAGAAAAGAGTTGTTAGATATGAAAAGAAACAGGTCAACCATCCATGGTGAGCAAAGGTCAGAGATCAGTGTTAAACAAAGTTGTGGAAGATCTTACAGATTGAAGAGGAAGGTAATTTTGGATAAAAGGAAGGGTAAAGTTATCCCAGAAAAATCAATTATCACGATGGGTAGTATTGCTATTCATGGATCAAGTAATCTCACATTCATGTATTCCGGGCATACAAGTTCACAACCCATGAAGGAATCTATTTGTTCCAATCGAATATGCAGATCACAATTCCAGAAGGGTAAAAGTAATGATAACGCAACATGTAAGCCGTCATCTTATTTGTTAATTTCTTTTTTCAATTTAATATAGATCTTCCATTGTACAAATAATTCGTATATGAAAGAAATTTGATATAGAGTAATTGAAGTTCTAAAATCTAACCTTGCTTTATTATTTGTTGTGAAATTGATTTCGTCTGCAAGCTGTTTTGGATGATAGATTATCATCAAATCCGTCTATTCTTCATCAGACCACAACAGGTGCATCGAAGAAAAATTTGCACTCTGGAAAATACAAAGTCATTAGCAGGAATTTAACATGCATAAATACAGGTAATATTCTACCAATCCATGTACACCATAATCTATTAATTATCATACAACAATTATTTAACCTGTATAATACATGATATGTAAATATACTTTTTTTTAGAGTACGATGACTTGGGAGATCCAATTTATGTATGTGAATATTGTGGATCTAAGATGTGGTATGAAGAAAGAGTGAACAAACAAAGGAGACCTGAGCAACCTAAATTCTCTCTGTGTTGCAAGCAAGGAAAAATACATTTACCCTTCCTGCAAGAACCGCCTCTTAAACTAAAACATCTGTTCATGTCAAATGATGATAAAAGCAAACATTTCTTGGAGAATATCAGAGCGTATAATAACATGTTCGCGTTTACTTCTATGGGTGGTAACATAGTTAATTCAATAAATGATGGACATGCCCCATATGTTTTCAAAATGCAAGGACACAACAGGCATCTCATGGGTAGTTTAGTTCCAGAGGATGATTCCAAACCCAAATTTTCTCAGTTATACATATATGACACCCATAATGAAGTCAGCAATAGGATTGGAGCTTTAAGGTACATTTTAATGCTTGCATGCTTAATGTAATAGCTTTTACATTTAATTTGGTCATCAATGATCCACATTTTAAACCATTCTATTATATTGTGTACTATTTATGACAATGCAGTTCAGGGAAGAAAAAAACAAAGGAGCTTGATGCTCATATTGTTAACGACATAGAGACTACGATGGATGAACACAATGTTTTGGTTAAAACATACAGAAAAGTGCGTGACACTGTCCAATCAGATTCTTCGAGTGAGATTAGACTAAAGCTAATTTCCACCAGGGAAACTGATGCCCGAACGCATAATCTTCCAACTATTGACGAAGTCGCAGCTATATTACCTGGCGATGAAGGAAATGAAACTAAGACAAGAGATATAATTGTTCAGTATAAATCTGGACAACTTCAGCGTATAAATGAGTTGCACCCATCGTACATCTCACTTC